AGGAATTAATTGAAAAGATCCTCATGTAGCTTATTGTGAGATGCATTTCCAAGGACATTGACCTTTTTGTTTAACAAATGTCAAAATTTGTGAAATATTTGTGAAATTTTTATTGGCTCTTTCCTATTAAGTACCACAATGATAGCTGCTCACTATAGAAAAAAGGATTTAATGTTATACCATGTTATGGTGAGAAGACAAAAGTTAAATCTTAATTTATATACATATTTTAACAAAGATTTCATCAATAAAATAACTCAAGCATAAAGTATATTCAATTAGGATTCAACTCTGTGGGGTAGTGAAATGGAAACAAGTTGAAGGAAGATGAAACATCTCTAAAACACTTTCTGCTAAAAGGAGAGCTTGCTCACTCTCTTTTATATGGAGGGTTCTGAGCATTAAAATACTGTCATATTGAGGTTCCTTTGATTATGTTTCAAAAAATATATTTAAAAAATACTGCTATTTACAGTATCCCCATTGCAACCAAGTGAACTCATGATGGAAATTTCCAGATATGGATTCAAAATGTAAGGGGCACATGGTTGCTCCGAATTATTTGGGAATATATGTGAAACATGCTGACATGCATCATGTCAGGTGGCACTACTTCAGGAGCACTTGAGTGGTGCCCTTAATTTCCCCTTTATTCCTAGTGCCTAGAACATCAAGAACTAAGGGTAGGTTGGAGGTGAAGGACAAGCTGTGAGTGGCAGGTAGAAGCCATAGGCATCAGTAGGAGATGAGGAAGAATTCTATCTGTCTTTGAGATATTCCCTCTGGACCGTATATATGTGGTAAAACTCGCTCTTGAAAAATCTCCTGTACTAAAGACCAGCAAATAAATAATATTGCAGGGTACAAAAGCTTTCATTTGCATTTAATAAAATAGCAACAAAAAAGAGTTTATTATTGTTGAAGATGATGCTTACATTTAGTGTTTGAAATTTTCTTTAGTGACTTTGTAAAAGAAAAACTCAATGGAGCCAGTACTGATGGTGTTTGGTTTGAAAAATCAAGTCGTCAGTTAGCGTTTTCTTCTTTACACTTGAGCTAGAGAGTTCTCCAAAGCTCTCATTTAGATATAATGGCATGTGAACCATGAATTTGGATAATTTAGGTGCAGAACAATGGAAAGGTTAGTATTCCTTACTTAAGTTCTATATCTATTCATTTGAAAGAAAATTTAATCATGAATTTATATTAGGCTTCTGCTAAAGACAGATTAGGTGTGTTTTTCACATTTGCAAAAATCCTACAATAATAGCTCTTTAGTTCAAAAATGTTCACACATCAAGAGAAGAGTACACTTGCCAGTGTGTTAATTAACTCAAAATTAATGACTTATACTTTTAAGGTGGACAGAAAATAGCAAAAAAGGATAAAGGCAATGTTGTGTTCCTTTTAAGATACCTAATTAGTCCCCAGTTAATTGTCAAAAGAATGCTTATATCCTGTATTTTGATTTGGAATTCCAAAGGATGGTAGAATTCTAGATCTAAAAGGGATTTTAGATCTTACCAGAACCAACTTGCTTATTTTAAAGAAAGGAAAGAATTGTTCAAAGTTCAGAGTAGAACTAGGACCACAATGTGGGATTCTGGCTCTTATTTCAGCCCTTCTTCTGCTGCCCCTCGATTCTGAACTGTGGTCCCTAGACCACTGGCTCCATGGAAAACTCAGGAGCTAATTGAGATTGTGATGTGCATGCACAGAAGGATCTAGAAGACGGGACCTGGGCCCCAACCTCTTAACAACCAAAGCTGCTCCATGTTTTCCTTTCATGTTTTGGGCTCCTGTTTAGAATTGATAAAGAAAATAAAAAGGCTCCTGTACCATTATCTCATTCAGAAGTTGTCAAAACATGTTATAGCACATGAGGTTAACTGTCAGAACCAGGCAGAAGGGGAGAGAATAGTGGGGGGTGGGGGTAGGGTGAGAGAGATGGGGATGTCTGATCCAAGCAAAAAGCACACAGGCTAGCAGAGCTGACTACAGAGAGAAATCGTCAGGAGCTCCTGAGAGCTAACAGCGGCCCAGCCTGGGAGCCCCAGGACATTTGTTCATCTCCAGATTGGTGCTGTCTTCCACAGCTCCCACCACAAGTGCCCGGACGTTACTCACTCATCCTGAGCCTTTGCACGCGCTGACCTCCCTTCCTGGCCTGCTGTGCAGCCCTACCGGGCCTCCCAGCTGGGGCAGGCCTCGCTTCCTCCTCCCTCCCTCCTGTCCCCGGGGCTCACCCAGTGCCTGGTGCAGCTGGCTCTGCCCTGTGTTCCTTCTCACCTGCTTTCCCCAGGGCATCAGTACCGTTCTCCCCATTCCCGTGTGACCGCCCTCACGACACTCAGGTGCACCCCCTAGAGCAGCGCCTCCCTTCCCTGCTCATGCCAGCTCTGGGGCGCAGCCCTTCCTGAACCACTGTGGGATGGGTTCCAGGGCAGTGTCATCTGGGCCCTGGGAAGGGCGGCCCTGAGAAATGGAGGGCTCGGCTTGCCTGGGCACCAGGGGAGCTCTGCCGACTGCACTCTGCCTGCAGTTTTAAAGTAGTTCACACTGAATGTAGACTCCTAATGCCTTGTTGACCTAGGGTTTGCAGTTGCCTTAATTTAGAGCAGTGACTCTCAACTTCTTTTTTTTGTTTTTTGTTTTTTTGTGTGTTTTTTTGCCTCAAAACTCCTGAGAGACAAAGCAGGCCAGATAAGCATTCTCAATCTTATAACTGGTTATTAACAGGGGGCAGTCTTGGAGTGCCCCTTCCACCACAGATGTATTCTGAGGGCCTGTGTGCCAGGAAAACCATCTCTATGCACGTGTTTCTGGGGGCCAGTTCAGAGTTCTGCTTCAGGGAGCAGGTCTCATGCGGTCGCTTCACGCCTGAGGGGTGACTGCTGGAGTGGCGCGAGGGAGTGGGGCTGCACCCAGCCCTCCGTAGAGGTGCCCCACTCTGACCAGCCAGCCCACTCCACCTGCACAGATCCACCCAGAGCTGGCATTACTACATGGCACTGCTGGGCTTTGAGTGCATGTCTGTCCCCTCATAAGCTGTGAGTCACCAGAGAGTCCAGAAATCTGTCCCCAGCCTAGTCACAGCTCCTCCCAGCCTGGCGCCTACCCAGCTGTGAAGACGGCCAGGGGCGTTGTGTTGAGGATTGGTGTCACACTCAGTCCTCAGAGCTGTCTGCACCAGTGTGTCACCTCCCCCTTCCCAGAGGAACAGAGACGGGTCCAGACACTGGCCTTTGCTGTCAGTCAACTGCCCTGCTAGGATTTGAGCCCAGGTCTCTGGGACCTGAACCTTCCATGCTGTTTCACATACTTGAAGCTACATAGAAGAAAATGTTAGTTTAATTGACCTGCTTTTTCAGTGATGGTGACAAAAGGAAGGAGGAGACAGTCCAGCTTGGCTGGCTGGGCCAACTCTGTGCTGGGCGGAGTTGCTGCTGTGTGCACTGAGCAGCCGGCCACTTTGGAGGTGTGACGGCTCATCAGCAAACCACGGGCAGGAAAGGTTTGGGTCATATTAATCCCCAGGCAGGATTTCTCCTCCATATCTGCCCTCCCTCTAATGAAGAGTCTTGAGACAAAAGCCAGAAAGCAAGAGGGATAAAGGTTACTGTGAAGAAGCATTCACTGCATTCAGACGGATTGCGTTGTGCATTTGCTCTTCTCTGAACAATTCCTCCTTTGTGCTCTAGTCTTTGCTTTTGGGTTCCTCTGTGAAATGTCTGTTCTTTCTTTTTCTTTTGTTCCTTTATTTTATTGTTTGGGACCTGAAAGAATGTTCTCCTTGGTGCTCTTCTGGTTTCGTGGACTCTATGTTGTTAGTCGGCTGTCCAGTTAAAATCATGGCCATGTGGAGTGCAAGCATGACACTCGGCACTCAGCGTGTGAGGGTGTGGAGTGTGCGCTCGGCATGTCTGCAGCCTTCATTCATTTTAGGCAACCAGTGACTACTTGGAGGAATGGTTTTAAAACAAAATGCACTGAAACTATAACACAACACAGTCTTTATGCCAGACTACCTTAAACTGTGTTCCAGGCACATGTCTTCCAGTGTCTTGAAGTTTAAACTATTTGTACATTAAATGTAGCAATGGCATCCCCTCTGGTGTGCACCTGGCACAGAGCTGTGGACCCCTGTCCTTTCAGCTCCAGCCTTAGTGGGTGGGGTCTCCTCTATGCACAGAGCTTTCAGGGACCTTAATGAACCTAAAAGCTCAGTCAGAAAAAATAATAAGAATCATGCTCTACTTATACTTCATGCCCCTCCAAGCTGGCAGATGTGCCAAGTGGCCAAGCATTCCCCATCAGTAGCAATTAGAGTTTGGTGACACTCGGGCCCTGCTAGTGAATTGTAACTCTGTGCATCTCATTCTGCCACTGCAGTAAACCTCATTTAGTGCTCCAGGTTAGAGAGCTGCAACCAGGCATGCTTTTGTTCTGATTCTTTTCACTTTTATTTGAAGATAATCTGTGATCATCTCTATGTCTCACATGTAAAAGTGAAGGAGAGCCAGATGCTGACTAAGTGTCATAAATGTTTGAGGCCAAATCCCTTTGTGCCTATGGAACACTTGTCAGAAGAGCCAAGACCGTATTAGTAGATACTCCTAAGTTTGTTTGTATTTTTAAAACCTCTGTTTTTAAAAAGAACTCCTTTTTAAACAACTTCAGTTAAACCAAGGGTCGGGCTAGAAACAGTTGGACTCACCATGTCATTACTCTGCATTTTTTAGTGTGTTTGCCCATAGTCATATACCGGATAAAAGTTCAAAAGACTGATTCATAATGTGCCGAGTTTGGAGGGAGAGTGTTGCTCTCAGTCACTCTTGGGCATGTGGTTCTGCCCAAGTTAGCTGTGTCTGGAGGAGTTGTGCTCAGATGGAGTCCAGATTTTGAGTGAGGCAGGCAGGTCAGTGTTGCACTTGTTGAGTGAAGAAACTGGAGTGCTGGCTGTCCTGTCCGCTGACCTGTCCCTGCCATGTTTTGTCCAGTGAGCCTGCTCCTGGGGCCTGGCAGTCCCTGTAGCGAGGATGGGGTCCCACCCGCGCTGACTGAGGCCGAGGAGACTGTGTCTGTGGGCAGCTGTTTCGCATCGGAGGACACCACTGAGGACTCCGGAGTGATGAGCTCCCCCTCAGACATCATCTCTCTGGACTCCCAGCATGACAGCATGAAATCCAAAGATAAGTGGGCCACAGACCAGGAGGACTGCAGTGACCAGGACCTAGCTGGGACCCCGGAGCTGGGCCCCCAGAAGAGCCCCTCCTGGGAGAGGAGCAGCTCCGGAACCTGGCATCCGAGGTGAGTCCCAGGACAGCCGGAAGGTAGGTCCCGCCCCAGTCGGCAGGAGGGAGGCCTTCTGTCAGGGCAACCCCTCCCCATACATACTCACTGAGAGCCGACTGTGGGCCAGGTGTCCTCCACAGAAGTCAGCATTTGTGATCTGGGGGTGTTGTCCACAGTCACGTCTTCATGCTCTTTTGAGATATGCAGGTGTTTATACATAACGCATAATGTTGCTTGTTTTTACCCTTATACAAACGGTACCATACCCCTGTGTGTACCTTTTTGCCATCATGTCTTTAAGATTTATCCATGATGATGTATTTCAGTCGTTCATTTATTTTTCCATTGCTTAGTTAATGGACACTTAGATTCTTCTGGTTTTCCACCACTGAAAATAATGACTGTTTACCTGTAGAGAGTTTTCTAGAAGAGAAATTATTAGACCTGCAGAAACACTCATCTTCAACTTTATGAAATATTGACTAATTGCTCTCCAAAATGATTGTCCAGTTTATTCACCCTGCAGGGGTCCATGTGCCTGCCAGTCCTCATCTACACCAATATGTGGGATGAGTAGACAAGATCTCAAGTTTCACCAGTCATCCAGGTGTCAAATAGCATTTCCTGGGGCTTTCTTTACAGTTCTCTGATTAGTAAGGAGGAACATCTTCTCATATATGTATTAGAATTTAATCTTCCTGTTCTATGAGTTGCTTTTTCATAGACTTTGCCCTTTTTCAAAAGTTGGGTTATTACCTTTTTTTAAAAAAAGTTAATTTCTCCCTTGTCAGTTATTTATACACAGAGAGTCTTTAAGACTTTGGCTTGAATTTAACTTTGTTTTCTTTTGTCAAATAAAAATTGCTTTTTAATTTTAATGTTGTTGAACATGTCCTTTCCCCCTGAATAGATGTGATTTTTGCATATTTAAGAGACCCACCTCATACTTTAAAGACCAAAGATTGTTTGAATTTCTTGTGTAAGTGTAGTGTTGCTTTCTCACATTTGAGCTTCTCATCTACCTGGGGTTTATTTCCGGGTGTGGTGTGAAGGAATCTGGTTTTTTCCCACTGACTCCTAGTTGTACATTCATCATGAATCAAATCTCCAAATAGGTATTGGTCCATTTCCAGTGCCCTTTCCTTAGCACTGGCTTATTTGTCCATCACTGCCCCAGAATCATGCTGTCAAAATCTCTTTCTTCATTCTTATGTAGAAAGGCAGGTTAATTCTCTGCAGCCCGTCAGTTTTTTTCACCTTTTCAATGGTTTTAAGAACCAATCACACAATGTTATACAAACATTACTGGAAATAAAGTAGAATAATAAAAAAAGAACCCTCATAAGCCAGTCACCAAAATGAATAAATGTTTTATATTTTTCATGTTTTATTTCAATTCTGTCTTCTGAATATACATATCTCTATAAGGTTAATGTAATTACAGTGTCAATAATATTTTATTTATTTTTACCTAACGACTTAAAATGAGCATTTCCCCATTTGTTAAATACGCTCTCCAATAATTTTAATGTATAGCTCATCAGTCTTAAGGCCAATTCCAAGGACAAGTTCATTTATCACTAGACAGGAAGTTTGAAGATGGCAGTTGGTCCATTCCTCATCTGCCCCACACAAGGAGTTTAGCTGAGTTTGGCTTATACTGTTTGCATCTGTGAAAGCAGAGAAAACTACAGTATTTTCTTAGTTCGTTTAACATAAAGAAAAAATTGCTTTCTACAGTAATGTCCAGGTCTGTTCTGTTGGTTTGCATGGGGATTTCACATACTGAGCTCTCCATGTGAAACCCATCAGACGTTTTTAACCTTGGCCCCTAGGGATGCTCGTGGAAAAGCCATAGTTTGCTTTGCTGGTGTAGATTCCTGATGTAAAATCTTGCTGATATCCATCTGCATATGGGAGTGAATGTCTGTGGCGAGAGCCAGGATAATCATGGAGTCTTTGGAGCCTGATGCTTTATCATAACAGGGAGAGGATGTGTTTTTCTGCCTTCATCCTTGGTGTACCACCAAATTTGAGAGTATCTTGGGGAGCGGGGGTGCTCTGGAACCTGACAGACCCACAGGGGCAATCCCACCACCACTAACCGGTTGTCTGGGCTCCCGGAATCTACCTAATTTTGCCAAGCCTAACATTCCACCTATGCAACGCACAGAGGAGGCCTCCTGCTTGTCGGGTGTGCTCAGCCTGTATGAGTGCCCAGCATGCGTGGTACACACAGTACCTGCTACACAGCTGTCCAGCAGGATCGCATCAGACTCACATGTTGACTTGGGACACAGCACCTTGTACCTTCCTGGCAGCTCACGTTCCTTCTCGGGGCTTTGGTCAGCTCAGCAGTCGAATGAGGGTGGAGGTGATCCCAGAGCCCCTCCGCTCTGTCTCTGCTCTTCCATTTTGCCCCAGGAGTGGGATCCACTCTGCCCATGATTTTTCATGGAATGACAGGGTTTTTTTAGTTCTCTCCATGAACACTTTAGACATACTCGTAGAATTCAGTGTAGTATACACCTATTTATTTCCCAATGTATGATTTTCAGTAAAATTCAGGATTACTTAAAAGCAGTGCCTGTAGTGTTGCAAACTCATAATGCCCACAGGGGCCGGGCAGTTAAGGAGGCTGAGGGAGGCTCAGCAGTGAGTGGCCACCAAGAGCTGCAAAGCCCATGTTCCTCTGAAGAAAGCAGCTTTACTCCCTCCTTCAGCTGCCGCCTCAAGGGATTACAGACCCAGTGTGGCTGGTTTTTTAAGAGAAGCCAGAAAGCTAGATTTTATGTGAAGTCTCCCAGATTTTAAATGCTGGCAACCAATTCAGACATTCAGAGCTAAACTGAACACATCTGCCCGGGGGTGTGTGGTCTGCTCACAGATGCGTGCTGAGTGGGCAGGAAGGGGCCTCGCCCTGCCCCTCTGCTCGCCCCTGTGCCAGCTGTTGGGTATTGTGCAGTTACTCAGGTTTTTCCTGTGATATAGCTCTCGAAATAAAACTTCCCAAATCAATCTCGGGATTCATTATCTCCTCCTCTTAGTAAAATATGAAAAGTCTTACAAATTTTGCTGCCAAGAAACCTGTTTAGATGAAAAGGAAACGAACTGCCTCTTGTCCCTTAGAATGATGTGCATTAAGCACTGGGCACTTCGGAAATGTCACCAACTTTCCATCTGTCACACTGAAAGCATGTAGACAAACAGCACAGTCAGGCAGTTACAGAGAGAACTCACTGCTCTTGGTGAACGTGGTAGTGGATTCTCGAGATGCACCCTGTGGTCCAGCCCACAGCAGACAGTGCTGAAAGCCTGGGCAGCAGAAAGGCAGGCAAGGCTGGAGGGGGCAGGGTGGGTTGGGCCAGACTGGGTGGCTGACCAGTACTGGGCAGCTCACCTCAGGTGAGCCACAATGGAGCAGGTCGCAGTGAGATGAGAACCTGGGCCAGGGGTTGGCCATAGAGGCTTCACAGAGGTGTGGCCACCTGGACAGAAGACCTTTATTGAAACACTGCACAGTAGCAGCCATGTCCAGAGAAAAGGGGCAGTAATTGAGAAGCCATTAGGAAGGACATGTTTCCTGACACACTGCTGCCCAGCCTGGACGACAGGGCACCCAGAGGCCCAGCACAGTGTACGGGGCATGTGCTCCTGAAGTGTGTGTCCCAGGACCACCTTTATAAAGGGAGGCCCTTAAAGGGGTGCTTCCCCCATTCTCGGTGCCTGATGCAGTCCTGGGACCCAGCCTCCTGGCCCTGCCCTACATGATCTGATGACTGTCAGCAGTTGATCCTCAGGGACCATTTGTGTTCCCAGGAGGGGTGTTCTTCCTGTGTGACAAGCAGCACTGATACAGGGTCTGGCTGTGACAGTGACACCATTCCAGCCTCTGAACACCAGCCAGAGGCTTGGGAGAAGCAGAAGTTAGTTACCCTTTGCCATGACAGGCAAGGCTGGGTCTCTCCAGGTAGAGGATGTGTCTGATAGGTTGTGAAGCCTCCCCAACAGTCTGAGACACCCTCACTTGCAGAATCTCCCCTATGGAGTCAGTCCCCAGAAGAAGAAGGTGTGTTTGTAGTTTGCAAGGGCACCCTGTCCTTTTGCTGCTCTCTGTTACTCAGGTGTTCAGAATTGAGCACTGTTGGAACAGTGCCAGACCCTCTGTGGCCTGAGAAGACCCAGGTTTGTGGACCTGCAGAGGTAAGTTCTTGTTGACGTGGGTACTGCTCCTCCTCTGCACCCTGCAGGTGTTGGGCATGTAGATGTCTTCACATAGGATTGCCTGGGGTCCCACCTCCCCAACTTGGAGGCAAGTACTGTGTCCTTCAGAGCTTCTGCCGGCCCAAGGGGAGCCTGGAAGGCTGGCCTCAGCTGAGAACATCCTTCCACCTCTTCAGTTCCGCTGCACAGTGCACAGCTGCCGTTCCCAGTGCTGACTTAGAAACTCTGTTGCAAATTGGACTACAATTTTTCATGAAAAAGGGAGTCTATGCCCTCAATTCATACTTGACCAAGTAGATGGGATGTCTAATTCCCAGAGTCTTCCTCTAAACAAAGTTCAGCCAGTAAGGTCCTTAAAGAGGAGCTCAGCCCAAGAACACAGGAACAACAGGCATGTGCACAGAGCGATTGCCCCTTGTCCCAGGGACACCTGGAGTGGCCTTGTGCAATGCTCTGCCCAGGGCAAACAGCAATGGTACCTATGGTTGCTTAAAGACCTCCTTCCAAATTCAGACCCCCTTTGTGTGTGGCCCAGACCAAAATTCCTAATTCTCAAAGAACAGCTTGATATGAAGACTAAAAAGTCCAGAGTCAGCCGGCCTAGGTCATATCTTCCTATGGCTGGGGACTGTGCTTTTGGCCAGGGGCTTGACCTGCCCTTCAATTTCCATGTTACAATGGAGACATGCAGTTCCTTCCCTCAGCTAGTGCCAGCCTTCAAAAAAGGATAGCTGGTATTGTTATTGTTGTTGATAATATTTATGACTGCCTGAGGAAGAATAGAAATTTGA